AGAGCCAGGTGCCATGGGTTGGCTGAGACGACTGGGGGGATGCACCGGCTGTGTCCCCCACTGGGCCACCTCGTGGTCTAGCCGCCCGGCGCTCCGCTCGTTGTTGTCAGCGTCGCTCGCTGTTGTTGAAGGGCGACTGCCTCCAACTGCCCACTGCAGGCCACAACAACACCCTAGTCCAGAAAAAAAGACAAAGATCACCCGTATAGCCTTAACAGACTGTTGGGGCAAGTGCTGTTAGCGAGCACCTATGAAGGCCGGCATGGCATACGAGGCGGTGGGTGGCCAGCACCACGCCCGGGCACCCTTGTCTCCCCAGTGGTCATGTTCACTACACACCGCACTAGGTACTCATTTGAGGCTGAGTCGACCTAGAGGAGACCCAGGACCGGTTCAGATAATCGTCACTGGTGTCGGCCGTGCATGGAAATCGAACTCAGACTGCTGGGTTCGTAGCGCAGAGCGCTAACCGCGACACCACTGCTCCCCACGACACGACCGCTCCCCACTCCCCAGACACCCACTCACTCACCCACTCACTCACCCACTCACTCAACCACTTACTCACCCACTCACCCACTCACTCGTTCACCCACTCACTCACTCACTCACCCACTCACTCACCCACTCACTCACCCACTCACTCACTCACTCACCCACTCACTCACTCACCCACTCACTCACTCACCCACTCACCCACCCACTGACTCACTCACTCACCCACTCACTCACTCACCTACTCATTCACTCACCCGCTCACCCACTCACTCACCACACTGCAGGTCACCTCGCTTCTATTTTTCCATTTTCTTGCACCGCTCTGCTTTGGAATTCCGTCTCGCAGCAACATCGTCTCTTCCCCCCAAGCTCTCATGACAATAACCTCGCTCAATTTAAGGAGCGTGTTGCCATATTTTCCTTTACAACTTGAGCTCTGCCCTTACCCATCATATCTGAATAAGAATGAACGACGTCCATTTCGCCCAGATGATGGCAGCAGTTGTTGTGTTTCACGTGACGACACGCAAAAAGTGGAGCCATCGTGAGAAGGGGGCTCACGGAACACTGAACCCGACACCAGGCCCCCTGGCCCCCTGTTCTGGCGAACATTCTGTCACCAAATATCCTCCGAGACATGCAAATTGCTTGGTAGTTTACACGTTGTTTTGTTGCCAACGACAACCACCCACCCATTATCAACCAAGACCTCAGCAATGCCCCTCACCTCTGACTCAAGTGCTGATCCCCCTTCTGGGATCGCCCTGCTGCTGCTGTCACCATCCTAGAATCGCGCACAAAAGACTTTGCTATTTTTTCCTGGATTTTTCTGTTGCGTGTAGTCACTTTAAGATGTTTCTTGTTCATGTCTTTGTTTGTTGCGGCTGCACCTGAGTCAAGAGCCGCACGGCTCAAAGGGTCATACCTAATAAATGAAACAAACTGAAACCACACCTATCGGGAAGAAAGCTGCTGCTGCTGTGAGAACAGAGCGGAACAACGCGGACGTCCAGAATAAACTCCTAATTTGAGACCCAAACATCATCACACCTCCTGGCTTTGGCATTTCACCTCTAAGAAACTGGAACCATCAACCGCATCAGAACATCAACAGGGCGATAAATGAGACGTTAAAGGCAAGCCATAGTAGTTCCATTGTGGCCATCCAATCCAAACTACAGAGACAAAATAATAGCCGAATACAGAGACTCATAGAGATGAATAGAGACCCAGAGATACATCGACTCATGGAGACAGATTACAGGCACTCACTCACTCACTCAGCAGTGCGACTGTGGCCATGCAGCCCAGGCTATGGACAGCAGAACGACACGAGCCCCCGACTGAAGCCCTCTCGTCGTGGCCAGCAACAGACCTCAACGTTGACATCGAGCTCCTGAACCATCTTGCTGCTGCCATGCGCAAGAGTAGAATACTACAACTTTGATAGTGCTGTTTGTTGCGGGCCGCTTGGAGTTGTGGGCCTTTGTGCCTGTGCTCATTGCTGCTGCGATCGTTGTGTCTTCCTTGCCGCCTGCTTTTTATCGGCTGTAGCGTGACACTCCGCTAAGCATGCAGGCCCTCGTGTGATTTTGATTGGTTCGCTTAAACGAAAGCTCGACATTTCGGCTGACCCTGCTGTCTGCGTGATGACCCTTAGACCTGGCGTTCAGATGTTTCTGGTTTTGAGTATGGACCATATTGCGTCAATATCAGCTGTCTGATCCTGTAACATCATTAGAATCATCGCCTTAGCCACGATCGTCTGCCAAGTGTTCGCAGTCAGGGGGATATATCTGATGTGTGCAATCCCAATAGAGTAATTTTCAGATTTGTTTTATGCTTTGGTATGTTTGGCCAAATTATTTCGCGAAGGGAGATAAACGGAGAATCCGGAAGAAATCCATGCAGAACAGGAGGGAACATTCACACTCACAGACAAAGATCCCACGTGTAGCTTTAACAGCATGTTGGGGCAAGTGCTGTTTACGAGCACTATGAAGACCAGAACGGTACACGAAGGGGTGGGTGGCCAGCACCACGCGCGACCGCCTTGATCTCCCCAGTGGCGATATTTACACAGCACACAAGGTACTCAGTTGAGGCTGAGTCGACCTAGGGGGACCCCGGTACCGGTTCAGATAATCGTCACTGGTATTGACGGGAATCGGGACTCGAACTCAGGTGACCGGGTTCGTAGCGCAGCTTGCTAACCGCGATACTACCGCTCCCCATAAACATTTCACACGCACACACACACATAGTGAGGGAAAAAATTATTTGATCCCCTGCTGATTTTGTACGTTTGCCCACTGACAAAGAAATGATCAGTCTATAATTTTAATGGTAGGTTTATTTGAACAGCGAGAGACAGAATAACAACAACAAAATGCAGGAAAACGCACGTCAAAAATGTTATAAATTGATTTGCATTTTAATGAGGGAAATAAGTATTTGACCCCCTCTCAATCAGAAAGATTTCTGGCTCCCATGTGTCTTTTATACAGGTAACGAGCTGAGATTATGAGCACTCCCTTTAATAGTGTGCGCCTAATCTCAGCTTGTTACCTGTATAAAAGACACCTATTCACAGAAGCAATCAATCAATCAGATTCCAAAATACCACCATGGCCAAGACCAAAGAGCTATCCAAGGATGTCAGGGACAAGATTGTAGACCTGCACAAGACTGGAATGGGCTTCAAGACCATCGCCAAGCAGCTTAATGAGAAGGTGACAACAGTTGGTGCGATTATTCGCAAATGGAAGAAACACAAAAGAACTGTCAATCTCCCTCGGCCTGGGGCTCCATGCAAGATCTCACCTCGTGGAGTTGCAATGATCATGAGAACGGTGAGGAATCAGCCCAGAACTACACGGGAGGATCTTGTCAATGATCTCAAGGCAGCTGGGACCATAGTCACCAAGAAAACAGTTGGTAACACACTACGCCGTGAAGGACTGAAATCCTGCAGCGCCCGCAAGGTCCCCCTGCTCAAGAAAGCACATATACATGCCCGTCTGAAGTTTGCCAATGAACATCTGAATGATTCAGAGGACAACTGGGTGAAAGTGTTGTGGTCAGATGAGACCAAAATGGAGCTCTTTGGCATCAACTCAACTCGCCGTGTTTGGAGGAGGAGGAATGCTGCCTATGACCCCAAGAACACCATCCCCACCGTCAAACATGGAGGTGGAAACATGCTTTGGGGGTGTTTTTCTGCTAAGGAGACAGGAAAACGTCACCGCATCAAAGGGACGGGGCCATGTACCGTCAAATCTTGGGTGAGAACCTCCTTCCCTCAGACAGGGCATTGAAAATGGGTCGTGGATGGGTATTCCAGCATGACAATGACCCAAAACACACGGCCAAGGCAACAAAGGAGTGGCTCAAGAAGAAGCACATTAAGGTCCTGGAGTGGCCTAGCCAGTCTCCAGACCTTAATCCCATAGAAAATCTGTAGAGGGAGCTGAAGGTTCGAGTTGCCAAACGTCAGCCTCGAAACCTTAATGACTTGGAGAAGATCTGCAAAGAGGAGTGGGACAAAATCCCTCTTGAGATGTGTGCAAACCTGGTGGCCAACTACAAGAAACGTCTGACCTCTGTGATTGCCAACAAGGGTTTTGCCACCAAGTACTAAGTCATGTTTTGCAGAGGGGTCAAATACTTATTTCCCTCATTAAAATGCAAATCAATTTATAACATTTTTGACATGCGTTTTTCTGGATTTTGTTGTTATTCTGTCTCTCACTGTTCAAATAAACCTACCATTAAAGTTATAGACTGATCATTTCTTTGTCAGTGGGCAAACGTACAAAATCAGCAGGGGATCAAATACTTTTGTCCCTCACTGTAGATGCGTTCTACAGAACAGGGGGAGAATTTCCACATTCCACGCAGATAGGCGCCCTAATCGGGAATCGAACCCAGTGGCTGCTTCTTGCGGTGAAGCGGCGCGAGTGTGAACGCTGCTCCACCGCTCTGCCAAGCAGCAGAGCGCCATGGCCACGGCGCGGAGTGCAACTCGGTCGCTCTGTGTCGCGTGCGAGTAGCGAGGAGAGGGAGGAGTGGAGATCAGAATCCCGTAATCTGGCTGGGAACGCTCGCACGGCGGTAATTGCGTGGACCAGATTCTTCTTATCCAGTTTCCAGTGAGGAGTCTGCGATGAGTCGCATAGGAGAGCCACGGGCTCCCGAGACATCGCATATTGGGGGGCTCAGTGGGGCTTACAAGGCACAGTCCTCTCATCCCAGCCGCCACCACGACCACAGTCATCACCATAATCACCATTCATTCTACTCTCCAGCGCATCAACTCCACCCACGCTCCACCCTCACCCACCCGTCCCTCGCTCTTCTTCAACTCGTTCTAAACCTCCTTGCTCTCCACCCTGCCTCGCCCGCTCTCTCTCTCCCCCCTCCCCTCTCCCCCGCCACTTCTCGCGTGTACTTAAACGCGTGCTTTGGGCCGGCTCGCTGGATCGCTCCGTGCTGCTGCTGCTGCCAAGCGGGTGAACGCCTCGATGACTCCACGCGTCCGCTCTCGCTGAAGTTTCGCGTGGACACGATTAGCCAAATAAGCACACACACACAGCAGCAGGAGTGGCTTGTGTCCTAGAGCCGTGGACAGCGGTCCCGTACCACGACATCAGCAGCATCGGCATCGTCGGGTGACGTTAAGGTAACGTGCAACTCTGTAGAACACGACCAGCTTCATTGAGTCAAATGCTTCACTTAATACCAGCTCAGTAGATCCCGGTTCGAGCCTCGTTCTTTGTCAAGCGTCAGCTGGGTCACGAACGCCATCACCACCATCATCATCGTCACCACCACCACACAATGTCAAACCACATCAAGCGAAGTCAGAGCGAGTTTCTGCTGCTCACGCGAGCATTGAAACATTTGTGCTCATCTCCTGTTCACAGCCCTGCAGAGCCAGAGTGATGGCTTTCCTCCAGCAGTAGATCGATCATGGCTGATGATGACGATGATAACAGGGCGATATTAAGAGTATCCTTGTGTACTAAAAACAAAACTCAGCACATCCCCGTGTCAGCACAGCGAACGGGCTGGGGATCTCTGGGCACGCGGCGCGTTCATCACAGACACCGCGCCTCTTGGCGCCGGATGCTACCGCTGAACTAGAAAACAACGCGGCCACCTGCCGGAGTCAACACAACGACAAAGCTTCTACGTGTAGCCTGCATAGATGGTCGGGGCAAGGGCTGTTAACGAAAACGTGTTAAGGGCTGGAAAAAAAACACGAACAATTAAGTGGCCAAACACCGCGCCCTCCCGCCTTTGTCTCGCCAGTGCTGATATTCACGCACCGCTTAATGTATCTATTTAACGCCGAGTCAGCCTAGGGGGAGGCCCAAACATCGCTTCAAAAACATGTCACTGATGTCGGCCGTAAATGACAATCGGAACTCGGGTCGCTGGACTCGTAGAGCAATGCGCTCCCCACAGACACCATCACCACGCACACAGACACCATCACCACGCACACAGACACCTTCACCACGCACACAGACACCATCACCACGGTGCACCGTGACACCATCACCACGCACACAGACACCATCAACACGCACACAGACACCATCACCACGCACACAGACACCATTAACACGGTGCACCGTGACACCATCACCACGCACACAGACACCATCACCACGCACACAGACACCATCACCACGCACACAGACACCATCACCACGCACACAGACACCATCACCACGCACACAGACACCATCACCACGCACACAGACACCATCAACACGGTGCACCGTGACACCTCACGCTGCATGCTCACGATCGCGCCGGAGCTGGGAAGCTAAGCCGGCGTTGATCCTGGTCAGTGCACGACTTGGATTGGAATTCGAGGTGGTAAAGGCTTGGGCTGCGAGGTGGCCAGCAGGTGGCAGTGCCGAATGCACAGCGCGCGGTGTTTTCGGGGTTTCTCCTCGCACACGAAGCCCAGCTCGCATTCATGGAATTGGCCAAATATCCCGACTCAGCAGCATCCTCTTGAAAGGAGGCTTGAGACTGCGTGAGGCTTTCTTAGGTAAGGCGTTGGCATAATAGCGATGACACTGGCGCTTCTCCCGTCTGTTTAGGGGAGATGGGGATGGGTGCGCTATTGTGGGGAGAGGTGGGGAGCGGAGTTGGGAATGATGGGAGAGATAGGAGGTGATGATCGGAGGTGATGATCGGAGATCGGAGGGATGAGAGGTTGGCAGAGGGATGGGAGGCTGAGGGAGGTGATGGAAGGTGATAGGAGGGATGAGATGGACGGGAGGTTAGGAGAAGCGGTGAGACGGATCGGAGGTGATGGGAGGTTATGGCAGATGAATGGAGGGATGGCGGTTGTGGGATGTTGATGGGAGGGATGGCGGTTGGGGGATGTTGATGGGAGGGATGGCGGTTGTGGGATGTTGATGGGAGGGATGGCGGTTGGGGGATGTTGATGGTAGGATGACGGTTGTGAGATGTTGATGGGAGGGATGGCGGTTGTGGGATGTTGATGGGAGGGATGGCGGTTGTGGGATGTTGAGGGGAGGGATGGCGGTTGTGGGATGTTGATGGGAAGGATGGCGGTTGGGGAATGTTGATGGGAAGGATGGCGGTTGTGGGATGTTGATGGGAGGGATGGCGGTTGGGGGATGTTGATGGGAGGGATGGCGGTTGGGGGATGTTGATGGGAGGGATGGCGGTTGGGGGATGTTGATGGGAGGGATGGCGGTTGGGGGATGTTTATGGGAGGGATGGCGGTTGGGGGATGTTGATGGGAGGGATGGCGGTTGTGGGATGTTGATGGGAGGGATGGCGGTTGGGGGATGTTGATGGGAGGGATGGCGGTTGGGGGATGTTGATGGGAGGGATGGCGGTTGGGGGATGTTTATGGGAGGGATGGCGGTTGGGGGATGTTTATGGGAGGGATGGCGGTTGGGGGATGTTGATGGGAGGGATGGCGGTTGAAGGATGTTGATGGGAGGGATGGCGGTTGGGGGATGTTGATGGGAGGGATGGCGGTTGAAGGATGTTTATGGGAGGGATGGCGGTTGGGGGATGTTGATGGGAGGGATGGCGGTTGGGGGATGTTGATGGGAGGGATGGCGGTTGGGGGATGTTGATGGGAGGGATGGCGGTTGGGGGATGTTGATGGGAGGGATGGCGGTTGGGAGATGTTGATGGGAGGGATGGCGGTTGGGGGATGTTGATGTGAGGGATGGCGGTTGGGGGATGTTGATAGGTGGGATGGCGCCTGCGCTGTGTGCCCGATGGACGCAGGAGCCCCCAAGCCCCCCACCTCCCGCGCCCGGTGGCCGCGTCATGGCACGCGGAGGCGCGTGCCGCTCCGCGTTGCTGCTGCTGCTGCTGGGACTCGTCGCGTGCGCCAGCCCGCACCCCTGGGCGGCCCCAACACCCACGGACTCGACGCGGTAAGGGTGCCCTTCCACCACCGACTCCCACCTCTCCCACTACTCCCATCATCTCCCACCTCTCCCACCACTCCCATCACCTCCCACCACTCCCATCACCTCCCACCACTCCCATCGCCTCCCACCACTCCCACTACTCCCATCGCCATGCGGGATGCGAGGTCAGCATGGGGGAGGTAGGGGGAGGAGGGAGGGGATGGGGGCCCAGACGGACAGTGGAGCGGTCTCCACGAGTCCAGCGACCAAGGGAAAGAGAATACCTAAGAGCAGATGGTGGGAGCCTGTCGGGGCAGATCTATGGGTCTCTGTGTGAGTCTCTGGGTCTCTGTGTCAGTCTATGGGTCTGTGTGTGAGTCTTTGGGTCTCTGTGTGAGTTTGTGGGTCTCTGCGTAAGTCTACGTGTCTCTGTGTGAGTTTATTGGTCCATATGTGAGTCAATGGGTCTCTGTGTGAGACGGTGGATCTCTGTGTGAGTCTGTGGGTCTCTGTGTGAGTCTATGGGTCTCTGTGTGAGTCTGTGGGTCTCTGTGTGAGTCTCTGGGTTTCTGTGTGAGTCTAAGGGTCTCTGTGTGAGGCTGTGGGTCTCTGTGTGAGTATATGGGTCTCTGTGTGAGTCTGTGGGTCTCTGTGTGAGTCTGTGGATCTTTGTGTGAGTCTATGGGTCTCTGTGTGAGTCTATGGGTCTCTGTGTGAGTCTAAGAGCAGACGGTGTAATGAGGTTCCCAGGGCCGAGCTTGGAGATCGCTGCGCGCCTCCTGCGAAGCAGCTGCGCGACCTGGCGGAGAGGTCGTAGCGGCTTTGGTCACGTTGACGTCATATCTGCTCTTTGATTGACAAGCAAGCGACTTCGTTTTTACAGAAGCTCTTGATCAGCGGTCTCATAAATAGGCGTGCAAACGACCTTGTAAACGCAAATGAGGGGAGAGAGAAAGAGGTGGGGGGTGAGCGCATTAAGCTACGACGCTGGAATGGATGTCGGGGAGATAGCGAGATAGGGGGGGCAGGAGAGTTTCTCTCTGCACTGCTCAATGGAGATCTCACTCGGCGTGAAATGTGTCCGCGCGCGCTCTCGCCACGCGGGGCGAGGTGATTGGGCGGAAGGAACGCGGCCGGGATTAGGGCTGAGAGCGGCGGGAAGAGCGGGTCTCTTCTCGTGAATCATTTTCCCCTAATCCTGCGCGCGCGATGCCGTCGCGATAAACACCGCCTAGTACACCGAAAGCGCCTGGCTTACACACAGATATGACACATTATCATAGTAATCATACAATTATTACACCCCCCACCCCCGATGCTATTCCAGCTGTGCTGTCATTGACGTCATCTTGTGATGAGATACAGCAGCAAGCAATGTCTGTTCGTAACTCGCAGAGAGCAGGGAACTGTCCCGCCCATGACCAACATCAGTGACGATTATCTGAACCGGTCCTGGAGCCTGGGTCTCCGCCAGGTGGAACTCATCTTCAAATGAATACCTGGTGCGGTGCGTAAACATGAGCACTGGGGAGACAAAGGCGACCGGGCAGGCGTTGCGCCTCGCCACACCACCCGCTTCATAGGTGATCGCTGTGCGCTGTGCGCAGGTCGGAGCGCCACGCGGACGGGCTGTTCACGAGCGGTTACCGCCACGTGCTCGGCCAGATGTCTGCGCGCAGGTACATGGACGGGCTGGTGGCGGCACGCCTCGGGTAAGTGGGGGGGCTCAGCTCGGGGTCTGTCGCTCGCTCGCTCGCTCGCCCAGGGCAGCCTCGCTTAGTCGCGTGGCGCCTGGTCGCGAGGGGGAGGGTCTCAGCAGGTGAGACGATGCTGCTGCTGCTGCAGGTAAATCCCAACTGAGTAATGTGCAGTGTAATTAGTCAGCATTGAGTGTTTGTTTTAGCTATTGGAAGAACACGGAAAAGACGGAGGAAACCTTTCAAGAACAGGGAGAGAATATACAAACACCACGCACACATTTGCACACTCTGACTTTAACAGATTGTTGAGGCAATTGCTGTGAGCGAGCACCTATCATTGCCGGCACGGCACACGAGGGGGTGGGTGGCCAGCACCACGCCTAGCCGCCTTTATCTCCCTAGTGCTGATGTTTACACACCGCAACAGGTACTCGTTTAAAGCTGAGTCGACCTAAGGGAGGTCCAGTAACAAGACGGTTTAAAATATTAATCACTGATGTTGATCATGAGCGGGAATCCAACTCGGGTTGTCGGCTTCGTAGCACACTCACCTTTACGCCCCACCAATCGCCCACGCGCGCACTCTGCAGGACAGGAGGACAACACGCAAACTCCACGCAGTCAGGACGCCCGAGTCAGGAGTCGACAATCACGCAAACTCCACGCAGCCAGGAGTCGTCAACACGCAAACTCCACGCAGTCAGGACGCCCGAGTCAGGAGTCGACAATCACGCAAACTCCACGCAGCCAGGAGTCGTCAACACGCAAACTCCACACAGTCAGGGCGCCCGAGTCGGGAGTCGAGCCAGAACGCTTCTTACTGTGAGGCGCGAGCGTCACCACTGGGTCCCTGGCCCACTACGATGACCATTGATGAGATGTTACGTAAAAAAACGTCAAAACATATAGTATGTGTCTTTGTCTCTTAACTGTGCTTCTTAAATGTTATTGTGAGTTTTAGTGTTAGATTATAAACACTAAGGCAGTGCTCTTCAGTTGCCTGGGTGGAAGTGGGCTACGTTTTTCCCAATCTTGGCCAGCTGGCTCCACCACTTCATGAAGGAACTCACTCACTGAGGCTTCACGGCGCTGCTGGGCAATGCGTAGGGGAACCGCTTGGGACATTCACGCCCTCTGATGTGCGTCGTGGCCGGTACCTGGACCCCCCCCCCCCCCGCCCGGCGCTGTGTGCAGCTACGCCATGAAGACGAGCGAGCCCGTGCTCGGCAAGCGCCAGGCTGATGCCATCTTCACCAACGGCTTCAGCCGCTACCGGCACAAGCAGGCGGCCAGCAAGCTGCTGCTGTCTCTGCTCGAGAGCCGCCGCGGGTGAGGAGCGAGGAGGGAGGGAGGGAGGAGGAGGGAGGGAGGGAGGGAGGGAGGGAAGGAGGGAGGGAGGGAGGGAGGGAGGGAGGGAGGGAGGGAGGGAGGGAGGGAGGGAGGGAGGGAGGGAGGGAGGGAGGGAGGGAGGGAGGGAGGGAGGGAGGGAGGGGGGAGGGAGCACGACACTCTTTTCTACAAACAGTGTTGCTGGCTGGAGAGATGCACGGACGGCCACGTTAAAAGACGTGTGAGCTGTTACTTAACAAAATAAAAAAAACTCAACACACTCATCAGCAACAGTGTGTGGCATGAAAGGAAAATATAGAATAGGCAACGTTTCGGGCAATCACCTTTCTTAACAACACACATAAAGGCCACTACCTCTCTGTGCCTCTGACTGGGTCTCTATGCAGGTCGAAGTCCGCGTGCCAAGTCTGCCTGTCTGGGCACGCGCGGCAGGAAACCACAGGAGGCCCCCCCTTAACGTGCCGCCTTGCCGGGATTGATGTGCCGCCTTGCCCTCCCCCTCCCGCTCCTGGCAGCCGCAAACACAGCCTGCTCCTCGACAACCCGCCGCCCGTCTACGGGTCCAGCGACACGGGCGAGTTCCAGAAGCTCAAGGAATTCATACAGATCACGCTGCAGGTACCCAGGTGCACCCAGTCTGGCACAAGCGCCCCTCTGAAGGCCCTGGCACTCGGTGGCCGAGGAGAGTGGCTCTCATTGGCAATTGACTTTCCGATCCATCGCTGGCCCAGCCCTCACACCGAACTGCTGCTCCATTGTAGAACTCTGGGGACGGCATCGTCGTCAACCCAGCGGGAGACTTCATATGTAGCACGCCGCAGCACGTCACTCGCCAATCCCGCGTCATGGTAATGCCTCAGTGACGTCACTGGGAGTTGTCACCTCGGCCTCGTTATCCCAGCCGCGGTGCCTCGGTGGGAGAGCGAGCGGCTCGCAATCCTGAGGTCACGAGCTCGAATTCGAGTTGGGGGTTGACTCAGCCCAATATTCCTCCAAGCGGTTGATAAACTTGCGACCACTTTGTGGGCAAGTCAACAGCTATTGTCCTCTAGCGAGACTCACGCCGCAATGGGACTGTGGAATGGCCACCACTGGCTCTGCAGAGCTGTACACGGGAGTGAGCACCAATGCGCCCAGAATCGTTAGAGAGCGGAAAGTCTCCCTGCGCTCTTCGCGTTCACCACGACTGACCGCGGCACCCAGCCGCAGCAGGGCAGCTCATGCCACATCGATCCACATCGAGCCACATCGAGCCACATCGAGCCACATAGAGCCACATCGAGCCACATAGAACTGATGAGAGCTGTGACCGGGAGTCGAGGTCAGGTCGCGGGGTTCGTCGCGCTAAACCACCGTCCGCGTAACGTTGTCACGGTCTTCTGCGCACTTGAGTCGTTCGCAGTGATTGTTCTATGGGGAGACTGGCACTGTCACAGTAATGTGGAAAGGTTGCCGGATTTTGACTTAAAACTTTCGTGACTGCAGCAATTCATATTCTTTGGTTCTTTCGGTAAAAAAAAACTTTACCTGGCAGCCCTTTAATTGGTGGAAACCCACCACCAACGCCGGCCATCGCCCATCACTCACATTAACATTCGCTGCCCCACCCATGCTGCTGACACTTGGGCTACGCTCATTTTAAACCTTTATCAACAGTTTGCCTTTAGAGGCGAACCCCCTTTTCCTGATGACGACCGCTTGTGTTGCGATCGAAACGTCGTAGTTTTTTTTATTCTACGTGACTTTACCGAAAGAACCAAAGAATATGAGTTGCCGGATTCGTAGCGCAGTGGGAGGATGAACACTAAAGCACCGCGTGGCTGTTGCTGCTGCTGCTGCTGCCTTCCTCCTCCTCGTCCGTGGTTCCTCCCCTGAGTCGTCTCCGCGCTCTTTCTCTCTGCGAGAGCGAGGAGAGAACACCGTGCGCGATGCGACACGAGTGGGCATCGTTATCGTCGTCACGGTTCTGTGTGTACATTTCCATTTGCAGATGTCGGGAATGTAAAACCCAGGATGTGCCTTGCCGAACACTCAGACCGGAGGATAACACAACAACAAAATAACATCATCAACAACAACAACAACCAGAGGCATCAAACACCAGCAGCAGCGCTGCGCGGCTGTCCCGGCGTGCGTGATGATCTGAAGCAATCTCCGCACGTCGACCATCTCCTCTCATCACGACGCCACGACGACTCGGTTATCCCTGGCGCCCCCGACACATCCGCTCGTGCGCGCAAAGAATCTGCACCGCCTTGAAACTCAAAATACATTCGTCTAGAGCGCTGTGGCATTACATATATACAATCCGCGATGTTTCGGGCAATGGCTCTTCTTCACATCACATAGAGGGCCATTGCCCGAAAACGTCGCCTATTATATATGTCCGATGACGGAGGTCACGGTGTTGTTCTTGACATGGGACGTGGTGAGTTTATTGGCTGTGCTTGTGCACCACTGCCCACGAAAGCAGCAGCGGCGGCGGCGTCACCAGACCACGTGTTCTCACGCACCATACGATGTGCACATCACCCATAGTCATCGATAAAAACGGATGCGTCGTTACAGCCCTTTGCAGTCCTCCTGCACTTGCGCATCCAGGCTGCCGTACCGCAGTGCCGCCACGAGAGCGTACGAACGCGTCACACCAGGGACGTCACTGCATCTCGCATTGCTTCGGTATTGGTAACGCACGGTCCTCAATTTCCATCTCTGCCAACTTGCTGCTCTTAGTCCCCATGCATCGTGTGCCTGTGATCCAGCACTGTGCTGCGGCAGCGGCGAGGGTTGGTGAATCGCCGCACGAATGTTGTCAAGCTCCCTTCCCGTGGGCGTCGAGGAGGAGCCGCACCATGGCTCGCCAGGAGGCAGTACAGCACGCGTGGGCTTTCCTTCCACATTTAGAGGTCCATTCATTGGCCGATAACGCTTTCATATATAAAGGACCGCAGAACTTGGGGAGAAGGGGGGTTTGGCTGCTGCTGCCTTCTTGCTCGTCTGTGGTTCCTCCTCCTCGCGCCTCTGAGTCGTCTTCTCTCATCGAGAGCGCGCGACTCCTCGTTACGAGTTATTATTCCAGTACTGCTGTTATTACTACTACTACGTGGTGCCGTCCCTCGCTGATCTATCCCCCTGCAGCCCCTCCCCTCGGTCGCTACAGCCCCGCCCCTTCTGGTGGAATAGACACAACCCATTCGATAGTTGTGCTCCATACATGGCATGAAGTGGAGCGGCAGCTCGAGATTCAGCGTTTCGCTCCAGCAGCGTCCTCCACTGCCAGGCCCGCGGGCCCCTGGCGGCCCCTGGTGGACTTTAGTTCGGCCCCTGACAATTCACAAAATGTGAAAGCATCCCCATCGTGCTGCTGCCAACCCCAACGGGTTCAAATGCGTGGCGGCCCTCACACTGACGACGTCTCAACGGCGACACGGTGCGAGCTGTCTACCTGGGGTTTGGGTGCAAATCCTTGAGTCAGGTAAACACAACCAACGTCGTTTTTGTGTAACATAGTCCTCGGTGTTATACCATGTGGCGTGGTACCACTTCGCGGCAAAAGGAACCTGGGTTCGATACCGCGTTCGGGCTCCTGTCTATCTGTAAATGTCCATGTCCCCCCACTCCATTGGCTTGGCTCCGGGTTCGCCAGTTTCCTCCCATAGCTAAACAACACCACACGAATGTAACATGATACTTCAAATCACTCAATTGATATCACAGCAGCAGCAGCAGCCCTCATCTACTGCGAAGACTTGGCAGGACCCTCCTGAGAAAAGAGCCTCGAGACTCAGTGAGACGCAAGTGGAGTAACGACGTGGCGATAAGAGTTATCTTTCTCAGCTTCCCAAATGAGCTTGAAAAAGTCCACGCATTCGCCCTGTTGCTTGCGCTGAATCAATGCTGCTGATAGGATGCACTCCCAGAAGGTCGTACGGCTGGTGGGATGTGGAAACAATTAGTTTTAGATAGGCATTGTGAAAATTGTTTGATATTCCATTGTTGGCATGATTGTTGTTCCTTGTTTGTTTAACCCTTTATCCCTCCCTCGCGATTAAGGGTCTCGATTCGGTGTGAACATTGTGATGATTGTAGCCGAAAAAGATGTCAATGATTTAAGGTGACGCGTTCGGGAGCCGATGTTCTTATTCGGTGCATTGATATTCATCGATGGTCATCCCCTGATCGTACAACGGAAGTCCCTTTGAGTTTCACTTCTGTACACTCATGAATAATAAACGAGTTGTCAACCAACCACTTCTGCCTCTGAGTCCACTGCTGGTCATCTTGAGCCGTGCCCTCCCCCCTCTCTGACCCTCTTTGGGGGGGGGGCTTCTGTCCCGGGCTCCCTCCCCTCTCCCGCCCCTCGCTCGTCTCCCACTCATCCTCCCCTCGGCTCGACTGCGCCTCGCGCGGTGCGTGCCTCGGCTGCAAAGGTTTCACAAAAGTTCCAATGCCTTTATTTACCCAAGAAATCGCTCTTCTTTCAGAAGGGAACTGCTACGCTGCGATGTTTGGCCAACCCCAATCGTGACGAGCCGGGCTTCGTATGGGAGGACACCGTGGAACACGCAGCGCCGCGCTGTGCACGAGGGGGTTGGGTTCCTGGGTTGCAGTGACCAGGCTCGAGCCGCCTTCACCATCCATTGACACCGGGCGCATTCAGCTGGTAGAAATTCCACTTTGCTATGGCGTGGACGAAGAACAACCAAACTGTTTTCACTTCCCACAAAGCGGTACTTATTGTATCGAACGCTGTGTGGGGGGTTGATGATGGGGCTGCGGCATTCGGCAAACAGGATTTAAATTCGCGACCTTTCCAAATGTGACTACTAAACTCTGGTCAAAGCGTTGAATTGATTGGACTTTTTGCGAACCGCCCACTCTGCCGATGAACTACCCGGCCGAACCTAGCGTCCACACGAGGTTCATGCGATTGAAGAACGAGCTGAGCAGGCGAGAAGGCGCAGAGCTCGGTGGGGGTGAATGCTGCAAGTAACCCCGCTCCTTGAAGAAATATGAATAAACATTTAACGATGATGAACCCGACAACGCCGTGGCGTGTAAACCACCGTGATGATGATGACGTGGTGGTTGGTGATGATGATGAGAGGCGACGGGAGGAGAGGTGTGGGTGGGGAGAGCGATCTGCGCTAATGATGCCTCAAGGGGCGTCACGTCCGTGCGGCTCCGCTCCCCTGGGCAGCCGCGCTGCTGCTGCGTCTGAGTGGAGAGGCGTGGGACCCAGGCGCTCCCAGCAGGGCCATGACCAACCGGCTGTGGTGGCGGTGGCGGTGGTGGTGGTGGTGGTGGCGGTGGTGGTGGCGGTGGTGGTGGCGGTGGCGGTGACGGTGGTGGTGGCGGTGGGGGTAGGGGTGGTGGTGGTGGTGGTGGCGGTGGCGGCGGTGGTGGTGGTGGTGGTAGGGGTGGTGGTGGTGGTGGTGGCGGTGGCGGCGGTGGTGGTGGTGGTGGTGGGGGTGGTGGCGGTGGTGGTGGCGGTGGTGGTGGCGGTGGCGGTGACGGTGGTGGTGGTGGTGGCGGTGGGGTTGGTGGCGGTGGTGGTGGCGGTGGTGGTGGTGGTGGTGGGGGTGGTGGCGGTGGTGGTGGCGGTGGTGGTGGCGGTGGCGGTGACGGTGGCGGTGGCGGTGGTGGCGGTGACGGTGGGGGTGGTGGTGGTGGTGGAGGTGGTGGAGGTGGTGGCTACGCTGCACTTGACTCTCTGTGGTCCAGCAGTGCGGAGGCAGCAGCAGCAGCAGCAGCGAGGGTTGGTGGATCATCGCACAGATGGTTCTGAAACTCCTTTCTCGTGGGTGGGCGCCGAGGAGAAGCCGCACCCTGGCTCGCCACCAGGAGAAGGCGGTACAGCAAGTGGAATCATCTTTATCTGTTTCCATCTATACGGGGGGAATCGAGTGTTGCCCCCTCGCGCAAGGCGTGGGTTGACTAGAGGTGAACCGGTTTCCTCCCCACATGAATAATAACACGACTCATTATTAATCGGCGGAAAACATCTTACAAATAAATACCCTATATGCAGCAGCAGCGGCAGGATCCTCATGAAAATGAGTCCTACGATTCCGTTTGGCTCTCGTGGAAACACAAATATGATGACAGCACGGTATCATTATTTTACCCACGATATCAGCGTGGATAAAATAATAACCCTCAAACCCTCACAATCGCGTCGAGGCTTTGAACCCATTTGCGTTTCACCGTAATTATGCGGGTAGGATCGTAACTCCTCGTACTTGCCACAGTCATATCACGAAGTATTCTGGATGTGCACTGGTGGCTGCGTCATCATCTCGCCGATCCGGACAGAGGCGGCCGAAATAAAGCCCTGAACCGGGTAGCTGCAACAGCTTGGACTGTTGTCTGGCACTCCCTTCCCCAGCAATCCTCGCTGGGGAAGGGAGCTCCAGTGGACAGTCGCATGAAACCCCGTAAAGGATAATAATCTCCCTGTAAGGAAGTCACTGATGGTAAATACGAGCGAACGAAAGCATGTTGCACTTGACACCAAGCTTCATGACCGTCCTTGGCCCGTCTGGCCAGGATTGGCCGCGCGTGTTTGTGGTATGTGCATAAATACTCTTTGGTTCTTTCGGTAAAGTCACGAAGATGAAAAAAAATGAAAATAACTAAACTAATTTAATAAAATGAAAATAACTAAATTAGTTTAGTTATTTTCATTTTATTTTATTTTTTCATCTACGTGACTTTACCGAAAGAACCAAAGAGTATATGGATCCTTGCAGTCACGACAACTTCAAATCTAGAATGTGTATGAATGTTGAACTTGTGGTATGTGTATGAATGTTTAACTTCTTCCGTACCGTGAATAGCCAGTCGTGTTAATACGAGGCGTCCCTGTGTCTTTCTCTGGACAGCGCCGTGAGATGCCGACGCATCCAGCCGCTGTGTCAATGAACATGGCACTGACCGCTTGTTTGTCTGAAAATAACTCTCAAACCACGGCTATAGGTCCCATCACGGATTGCTTTATTTGGCGATGCTGTGGTGGCAGTGGTGCACAAGCACAATTCACACATGTATCTGCTATGAAGAAGGGCCGTTGCCCGAAACGTCGCATATCATAATTTTAAGGCCACATTGTTATTGACAAAAAT